CCACTTGGAGCCTACACTTGAACTGTGCCTGTGGTCCTCCATTTTCTCACAGTTTCTCTCAGTGGAGACTGAAAGCTGAAATCTCTGCAAAGCTTTCTGTATCCTCTTTGTTTTCAGCTCATTTGAAAGGTGTTTTGAGACTCCCATGCTGCAACTCTTCAGAGAACAAGCAAAGAGGAGAAAAACTTACAACTGCCTCCCTTAAATATCCTTTCTCATAATAAGAATCAAATGCAAATATTTTTTCACCCAAATCCAATGTTCTGCTTTGATTTTGAAAGAGATTATCAATGCTTTTGTTTTGAAATCCTGGGGGTATTTCATTAAATTGTTGAGCTTCAGGAATTTTTCCACTGGAAGCAGTTTGTGATAGAATGGGTTTTTTATCAGGTCAGCAAACAGTAATAAAGCAAGCTGATATAGACTGTAGAGTCTGTAATAAACATGAAATTATTGTGTTTTTTTTTTTTACTGGAGTCAGAGGCAAACTGAGCTCAGTTTGTGGATTAGATTTCTTTCTCTGGAGAAAAACCTACTAATTATGCTACAGTTGTTACTTTGATCCTGGTTGTTTAAAATACTGTAAAACATACATTTTTTCACTTATGGTATTGTAATTGTTTATTATTTACATCATAAACTTCCATCTTCTACCATTTATCTATTGTCGGGTCACAGAGGCAACAGATCCAGAAGAGAAATCCAGACATCCCTCACCCCAGTTACTCTCTGAAGCTCCTCTGGCTTCCAGGACAGAGAACACATCATCCCACCAGCAGATTAGGGTCTTATTCCAGTGGGAGGTGCCCAGAAAAGGCATCCTAACCCGATTCTCAAACCACCTCAGCTGACTCCTTTTGATARGAGGGGCAGTAGATGAAGATGCAGAGCAAAAAAAAAACAGAAAGGCTTTTTCTGACGTTCTGACAGGTTTGAAACTGGAACACTTTCACCTCAAAACTGACGTCAGAATTTCTAGTTCTGCTACAGCTGGAACACAGCATTAGAGACAGAGTGAGGGGCTCTCCAATGCTAACACAAATGAAGAGTCTCATTCTCATTTTCCAGCGCCGGCCTTTCAGTTAGCAATGCCGGCTGCTCAGTTAGCGGTGCCGGCTGCGCAGTTAGCGGTGCCGGCCTGTCATTAATCAGATCAATAGCTGGTTTAGGAACAGATGCAGCCTCCTGCTACAAGGATGTAGCGATCACTGGCTGCACAATAGTCTTAATTTTGGCCCTCATACCATGCCATAGAAGTTGTTTTTGTTGTTTTGTTGACATTGTTATATTTATATATTTTGTTACATTGATGCTTTCTTTTTGTCATTTTGCACTAGTGATTTATTTTTTTCTTAAACACGTGTAGTAGAAGATAATAGGGGAATCATTATTATTTATCTTATATTTATACATCATTTTATTTTGTTGTATTTAGTTACTACAAGATATTTTTTAACATTTTGCCTAAAACCTTTGTCCTGTGTTTTATCATAATCAACTCACTAAATATAAAATCACTTAATTATGAAATCAACTTGAAAATGATCAGAACTTTTATTTGGTATCAAGTTGATACCAACATTTCTAGTTTCATCCACTCCAGTCTGTCTGGCATGAATGATAACACTCTTGTAATAAAGTTAGCGAGTCAACATCTACTCCCTGTAACAAGCAATGTCTGCCTTTACTGTTCAGTGTCCTGCAATGATTTGAATTGAGTTGTCRTGTTTCTCTCGTGCAGATTGACACATACTTTGAGAAAGACCTGACCCACAGCTTACAGATCTACATGCAGTCCAGTCCAGATGGCAACAAGACRCTCAAAGATGACTTTAATGCTCTTCAATACCTGGTAAATATTATTTCATAAATTGTCTATGCATGTTTCATAATTAGACTTTTTTAAAATCGTGAACCAGTACTAAAAAAGTAAAAGCAAGCATTTTTAAATTTCATTTACTAATACAAACGAATAATTTGAAATACAAGCAGTATTTGTTTCTATGTCAGGAGACACTGACCTGCAGAAAAACTTGGTCGCGCCACAAAACGACCTGAAGTTAGCTTCAGGTTGTCTTGACGTTTCCTCTGAAACAGAGTGCTTCAGTGAAATTTATTTGCTCCATGTTTAAWAACAGACTGCGGCATTTTATTTTGAAAGGAYCTTTGCTGCTGTCTTGATATGCTGACGACTTCCTGTCAAAATATGATCAAACAGAGCAATAATTAGTTTGTCACTGGTTTATTTTTATTGTCTTTTAAATATCTTTCCATCTATTTTTAGCCATAAACAGGAAATATATATTTCAGATGAATCTTTTTTAAGATAAAAAACATAACAAGCATTTTGTTTTACRACACTGGTTTCTGATAAAAGCTGCACAGAGCTTATCCTGTCTGAAGTACCTGGTGGTTACTCTCCAACACTAATTAAACCAACATGTTCCAGTGAAACATGTTTTCCTCCTGCAGTTTCGGTGCTGTGGTGTTCATGGTGTGGCTGACTGGAAGGGGAACGTTCCCATCTCTTGYTGTACTTTGGATCCCTGCAACTTGTCCGACCGACCCAACTGGCAGGAGGTGACTTATCCTGTTAGAAAACATTACAAATCATTTAAATGATGAAGCTGTGGAGGTCTGGGTGACTTATTTCTGCAGCAGACATACATGTAGATGTACAATCATAGCAGAAACACAACATRCTTAAAGTCTGGCACTGGCGGTGGGCTATGTTTCTCATTCATCCCGAAGGAAAAGCTTGTCAGAATTTGTTGAACGTCTATATAACAGAGACAATTGTCCACTTGTTTTTAGGTAATAGTATTTTAAAAAGTATGAACATCATGGTTGAAGGTAGGAAGGAGCAGAACATCCAGGCTTAAAGCTAAAAGTAAAACATGTAGGCAACAAAAAGGCTGGTGTGGCAGAAAAATGAACAACACAAATCAGAGCTGAGATCCAGACAGAGATTAAAACTCTGACAGACTGCAGATGAGAGAAGTGAGGCAGGTAATTAGTCAGAGCTGATGAGGTGATTAGAGACAGGTGTCCTAATGGTAACAGAGAACAACAGGTGGAAGTGGGCAGGACTGAGGCTTGGCTGAAAACTTCGGACAAACATCCAACAGCTTTRYCTGCTTCTGCTCTCCAGAGGCCTMTTGCATGAAAGTAGAATAAGGGATTAACCCGGGATTTTGGTCTAAACCTGAATTAATTAATCCTTGAATCGGTTGCATGAGAAACGAAGCACTTATGTTTCTGTGGTAACAAGTGCTCTGAAACTAACCTGGTCCCGACCAGGCTTAAAGTGGAGCTAATTTAATCTGTTAGTGTTTAGTGTTTGTTTAGCAGTAGAGTCATTTTACTGCAGAAAAATGTTCCTCTAAACAAGTTTTACAATCTTATATCAGTTAAAAAGTATTTTTGATC